CCAGGTTCAGTCTTTGAATGCCGCATTCCAGAGCCATGTTTTTAACGATTTCCTGAACGTCAGGAGGGAGGGGGCAGATCTAACCTCTAGTGGGAGGGAGTTCCAAAGCCGGGGAGCCACCACCGAGAAGGCCCTGTCTCTCGTCCCCACCAACCGTGATTGTGAGGGTGGTGGGGCCGAGGGCCCCCCCGGAAGATCTTAGTAGCCTTGATGGTTCATAGGGGAGAATCCGTTCGGACAGGTAAACTGGGCCAGAGCCGTTTAGGGCTTTATAGGTCAACACCAGCACTTTGAATTGTGCCCGGAAGCTGATCGGCAGCCAGTGGAGCTGGCGTAACAGAGGGGTCGTGTGGTCTCTGTACCCTGCTCCTGTTAACAATCTGGCTGCCGCGCGTTGGACTGATTGAAGCTTCCGGGCAGTCTTCAGAGGCAACCCCACGTAGAGAGCGTTGCAGTAGTCTAAACGGGATGTAACCAGAGCGTGGACTACTGTGGCCAAGTCAGACTTCCCAAGGTACGGGCGCAGCTGGCGCACAAGTTTTAATTGTGCAAAAGCTCCCCTGACCACCGCCGAGACCTGGGGTTCCAGGCTCAGCGATGAGTCCAGGATCACTCCCAAGCTGCGAACCTGCCTCTTCAGGGGGAGTGTAACCCCATCCAGCACAGGCTGTAACCCTATGCCCTGTTCGGCCTTTCGACTGACCAGGAGTGCCTCTGTCTTGTCTAGATTTAGTTTCAATCTGTTGGCCCTCATCCAGGCCGTTACAGCGGCCAAGCACCGGTTCAGGACTTGAACAGCCTCCTTAGTAGTAGGTGGAAAGGAGTAACAGAGTTGGACATCATCTGCGTACAGATGACACCGTACCCCGAAACTCCGGATGATCTCTCCCAACGGCTTCATGTATATGTTGAACAACATAGGGGACAGTACAGAGCCCTGCGGGACCCCACAGTACAACGGCCGCGGAGTCGAGCAGGTGTCCCCTAATGACACCATCTGGGAACGCCCCTCGAGAAAGGACTGGAGCCACTGCAGAGCAGTACCCCCAAGGCCCATTCCCGCGAGACGTCCCAGAAGGATACCGTGATCGATGGTATCGAAGGCCGATATCTAGGGAACTGCTATTAATGAGGCTCACCACGCTAGAGTGTCTACTAGGTTACTGATAGCAAGAGCTTCCATCCATCTTAAGATAAGTTCTTCCTGAAGCCTCTTGATGACCACCTCATTAATCTTATGATAAGGTGCCTGGTACCAAAATGGACCCTCTTGAAATATGCCAGGCCTCTAAACATTCCTTTCTTTAGATCATGGCCTCTAATTTTTGCAGCTTTTAAAAAGCCAGGTGAAGTGATGGCCATGCATACATACATTTCTCTTTGTGATTTCATATATTTTCTAACTCCTATTTCTATTATGGTTACATCAAATATATATTTTCCAATATGTGTATTATGTATTTTCATTATGCCTTCATCAAATGCACCTTGCTTGAGCAGTGATGGCACGATCATCAGCATAGATAAAACTCTGTGCCAATTAAAGTGAGCATGCAAAGCATTAGAAAGAGAGGGAAATCATAGAATCCTAGAATAGGAAGAAACCCCAAAAGGCCATCCACTTGAACCCCAAGAAAGAATATACAATCAAAGCACTCCTGACAAATGGACATCCACCCTCCAATTAAGAACCTCCAAAGAAGGAAACACCACCACACTAAGGCAGCATAATCCGCTGTTGATTGCGCATCAGGAAGTTTTTCCTAATATTTAGGTGGAAACTCTTCCTGCAATTTGTATCCATTTCTCCATTGTTAGTCTTTGCAGCAGCAAACAAACTGACTGCATCTCCAATATGATGGAGCAATTACATCTTGCAACTTCCTTTTCAGGAGACTTCTGGTAACTTTCCTTCTATATGGGTGCGTCTACATTTTAGAATTAATGCAGTTTGGCACCACTTTAACTGTCATGATTTAATGCTCTGCAATTATGGGGTGTGCTTTTTTTGTCAAGTTCTGTACAGGTAGCACAATAATTAAAAAGTTTCTGGAGCAGCTTTGAAACATACTCTCCCCAAAAAAGGAGTTCGTGTGTAGGCGATAGGGCTTGCTATATATAGCTACCTAGCTAACGGAGAGCAGAACATTCATATAACAATTACTTGATTGTCGTTGAGTGTAAAAAGCTTCAGCAACTGTATGTTCCCCTGCATTTTATTTCTATTTAAATATTGTGTTGGAACTGGGAAAACTGATGTTTGCGGGGCCTTCAAGACAAGGAAGGAGCCAGGCTGTGCCAAAAGGGTCGGTTTCAAGGCACTAATTTTTCACACCATGTGCTGAACCACTAAGGAATAAATCAGAAAATACTGGCAGCCCAAGACATCAGAGAGGTTGCCACTTGTGTGCCTGCGTGATGTATTGCTCTGTTTCTACCCCAGCTTTCATCCTTTGCTCCCTGAAGAAGAGCTGGTAGTAATCATTCTTCTGTGTTACAAATACTCCAACCATTTCCAGAATGAAAACGGCACCGTTATTTATCCATCCTCATTGCTTGCTGTAGGAGCCCGCGATGGCGCAGTGGGTGAAATCCTTGTGCTGGCAGGACTGAAGACCGGCAGGTCACATGTTTGAATCCAGGGAGAGTGAGGATGAGCTCCCTCTGTCAGCTCCAGCTCCTCATGTGGGGACATGAGAGAAACCTCCCACAAGGATGGTAAAATATCAAAAACATCTGGGCGTCCCCTGGGCAATGTCCTTGGAGACGGCCAATAGGATCACAACCTATTGGGGATTATGGATTACGCTGAACTGGATGAGTCTTTACCAGTAATTGTAATTGTAAAACTATAGCTAAATGGTTATCAAAGGCTTTCATGGCCAGAATGTGAGCCCCCGGTGGCTTGGTGGGTTAAACCCCTGTGCCAGCAGGACTGAAGACCAACAGGTCGCAAGTTTGAATCTGGGGAGAGGCGGATGAGCTCCCTCTATCAACTTCAGCTCCTCATGCGGGGACATGAGAGAAGCCTTCCACAAGGATGGTAAAAACATCAAAACATCCAGGTGTCCCCTGGGCAACGTCCTTGCAGACGGTCAATTCTTTCACACCAGGAGCAACTTGCAGTTTTTCAAGTCGCTGCTGACATGAGGAGCTGGAGCTGATAGAGGGAGCTCATCCACGCTCTCCCTGGATTCGAACCTGTGACCTATCGGTCTTCAGTCCTGCTGGCACAGGGGTTTAACTTGTGGACCAGTAAAATGAACAAAATCTGGCTACCAGTATTTTAAAAAAAACTCTAAAATTATAACAGTAAATAAAGAACAACACTCAAACACAGTGGAACTCCAGACAAGAAACAACCAGGGACAGCTAATCACCCCTCAACAAAGGATTTCCCCCACTAAGTAACAAGCCACACCTAAAAACTGTCAGGCCACCAAATGCTAATCAAGATGGCCAACTGAAACTTTCACACCTATCTCAAACAGACAAGAGTTCTTTCTCCCATAGTGGATATTCCACAAATATATAATTCCAATTTTCCTAGTTTCCAACAGACCTCACAACCTCTGAGGATGCCTGCCATTGATGTGGGCGAAACATCAGGAGAGAATGCTTCTAGAACAGTGGTTCTCAACCTTTCTAATGCCGTGACCCCTTAATACAGTTCCTCATGTTATAGTGAACCCCAACCATAAAATTATTTTCGATACTAGTTCACAACTGTATGAAGCATAATGTAAATATCTGATATGCTGGATGTATTTTCATTCACTGGACCAAATTTAGAACTAATACTCAATACACCCAAATTGAATATTGTGGAGCGGGAGAGGGATTGATTTTGCCATTTGGGAGTTGTAATTGCTGGGATTTACAGTTCACCTACAATCAAAGAGCATTCTGAACTCCACCAACGATGGAATTGAACCAAACTTGGCACACAGAACTCTCATGACCATGAGAAAATACTGGAAAGGTTTGGTGGACATTGACCTTGAGTTTTTGAGTTGTAGTTCACCTACATCCCAAAAGCACTGTGGACTCAAAACAATGATGGACTGGGACCAAACTTGGCATGAAAATCAATATGGCTAAATGTGAACTCTGGTGGAGTTTGGGGAAAATAGACTTGACATTTGGGAGTTGTAGTTGCTGGGATTTATAGTTCACCTACTATCAAAGAGCCTTCTGAACCCTGTGTTTTCTGTAGGTCTTTGGTGGCCCCTCTGACACCCCTTCTTGACCCCTCCAGGGGTCCAGACCCGCAGGTTGAGAAACACTGTTCTAGAACTTAGCCATACAGCCTGAAAAACCTACAACAACCCAGTGATCCTGACCATGAAAGCCTTGGACAATACACAGGGCCGGCTCATCCATTATGCGAAGTAAGTGGTTGCAGAACACTTTTCTTTTGCCAGGGGCACAGAGGCGCCTCTGTAAATGCCCCTCGACTGCCACTTGAGGAGCGCCCCCTCGAAAAAAAAGGACGCCAAGGCTCCCCACGGACTGCTAGGTGACTTTTGGTGCACACGCCGGGGTCTTCAGGCACGCCTCCAGACCCAAAGCGGACGAGGCAAGGGAGCAAATGCGGCAAGTGTAGTTACTGGGATGTATAGTTCACCTACAATCAAAGAGCATTCTGAACTCCACCAATGATGGAATTGAACCAAATATGGCACACAGAACTCCCACCACGAACAGAAAATATATATCAGTGATTGGTTTGGGGGGGGGGGCACCAAAATACTCTTTGCTTACCATTGAAAATTACCTAGGGTCGCCTCTGACAATACATCAAAGCAGATAATCTGGGATCAGATCCTGGGATATAGGACATTGTAGTGTAGATCCATCCCTAGTTGAGGTGCTGCTGCCTGGACTCGGAGGGGCTTGGTCTCTGGCAGAGGAAAGGCGCTCCGTGCAGGAGAGTGGCTCTGCTCCTTGCCTCCTCCTCCTCCTCCTCCTTCCCTCTTGGCCTCCTCCTCTTCTTCCTCTCGGGAGCCAAGGAGGCGGATCTCAGCGCCGGCGCGCAAAGGCAGGAGGACCACGAGCAGCATCCCAGGCAGCTCAGCCAAGAAGACTCCGGCAGGAGAGGCCGAGGAAAGGATGGAGAGGAGAAGCCGGGGAGCTGCAGGTGAGCACGACGTCGGTGTGGGCAGGGGAGCAGGAAGAGAAAAGACCCAGGATTCCCACTCAATTCTTAAAAGAAGGGTGGGAGAGGCTTGGGAAGCGTGGTGCAAAGGCGCGCACACATCCATCCACGCACACTCAGAGACAGATCTATAGCTAGGGGAGAGGTGGCTCTGGCGTGCAAAGCTCCACACACATATATAGGTTGGGGGTAAAGTCACCCAGGGTCTGATGATTGAGTGGACTGGTCTTGGGCGCCATTGAAGGGTTTGGATTTTTCACACGCGATGCCAATGCATTCCCTCCTCTGTACGCCCGTATATAGGGTTGTAAAGGAAAGACGCAACGTAAATAGAGACAGCATTCAATCTTTGTGACTTCTGTATGTGTGTGTGTATGTATATATATATATATATAGAGAGAGAGAGAGAGAGAGAGAGAGAGAGAGAGAGAATCATAGAGTTGGAAGAGACCTCATGGGCCATCCAGTCCAACCCCCTGCCAAGGAGCAGGAAAATCGCCTCTTGGCACGGGCACTCCAATCTATCCACACAGCTTGAGACAAGCACAAGAGGCAGGTGAGGGAATGGGGTTGCCAAGGCAAGCAATGGGGCAGGTGCCTTGGGTTGGCCAGGGAGGAAAGGGTGCAAAGCTGAGCCTTTGGGGGTGTTTTGCCCAAAGGGAGAGGGGCGAAGAGGGGGCGCAGAGACTCTTCTGGTGCCAAGGGCGCATCCTTCTGCCTCGCCTCAATCTCTCTCTCCCTCTGCGCCAGGGCTTCTCTTCCAAGGCAAGAGATGGGCGCCTTTGGAGGCTGGGGAAATTGCTCTGGTGCCTTGCATCGGGGAGAAAGGGGCCTGCCCCGCTTCCGTGGGGTGCTCTCCTGCCTCAGCAACCCCCTCCCGAAGTCAAGGAAGGGAGGAACTCACAGCATCCAAGGGAGGAATCATCAAGGAGAATGAGGATCACTATGGAGAGGGTGGCGCCTCCTGAGGAATAGGGCGCCTCTCTTGAAAGGGGTCAAGAAAGGGGTTTTGAGGGGCGGGAGAGTTTCCTCCTTTGTTGTTTCTGCAGCCCTTCAAGCCCTCCCCCACTCCCTTCCCTTTCAGCCTCAGTGGTCCTTCTGTAAAATAGGTTGAGCCCTTTTTACGCAGGGCACGCTTTGGAGAGATGGAGAGGCGCATCCTAGGCAGAGAAGTTGTGCTTGTGTTGCCTTCAAGACTGCATCTACACCACTGGTTCCCAACCTTTTTTTGACCTGGGACTACTATGACCAGGGGCCACTCTCCAACATTTGAACCAAAAGTAGGTTCCCAACCTGTGGGCCGTGGTCCACTGGTGGTCCACAAGACCTAAAATAAAGTATTTTTTTTTGTCGTGTCAGGAGCAACTTGAGAAACTGCAAGTCGCTTCTGGTGTGAGAGAATTGGCCGTCAGCAAGGACATTGTCCAGGGGATGCCAGAATGTTTTGATGTTTTATCATCTTTGTGGGAGGCTTCTCTCATGTCCCCGCATGAGGAGCTGGAGCTGATAGAGAGAGCTCATCTGCACTCTCCCCAGATTCGAACCTGCGACCTGCCCATCTTCAGCCCTGCCGGCACAGGGGTTTAACCCACTGCACCCCTGGAGGCTCCTAATAAAGTCAACGGTTCTAAATTATTAAATATGGTTTTCTGTGGGCAAACAGATGGCTGGACTGCTGTATCAGAAACCAGAGCTGATGTGGTCTATCCAATGCAATTTTCTGAATCAGCACCTCAAATAACCAAACCAAATCTAAAGTTGACCAAAAACTGATTCGTAATCCTTTTGATACTAATGTTGGGAGAGTGGTCCCTGGTCAAATGGTCCCTGGTAAAAAAAAAAGGTTGGGAATCACTGACCAAAGGGGTTACAAATCAGTTTTTGGTCAACTTTGTATTCGGTTTCGTTATTTGGGGTTATTTGGATTCAGAAAATTGCATTGGATAGACCACATAAGTTCTAGTTTCTGATACAGAACATAAGCCATCGAGCAGTCGCCATCTGCTCACCCACAGAAAACCATATTTAATAATCTAGAGCTGATGTGTTCTATCCAATGCAGTTTTCTGAATCAGCACCCCAAATAACTCCTGGAACAGTCCTAAAAACAATGACACCAAGAAAAATATTTTTTGGTTGGACTGTGTTATTATTAGTGGATTTTGTTAACGCTTGTGTTAAAAGGGGGGAGGGTGCTAAGTTTGAAAAAAAAATACAAAAAGCAGAATGCGAGAATCAAGAAACTGTCCCTAATGGCTGCTTTAGAAATAATAATAAGAGCAGCAACAACTTTGGGGAACTTAACAGGGTCTTAAAAAGGGCTGCTTTCCCGTTACAATTCATGTGTGGCAATGGGAGCTTATTATTATTATTATTATTATTATTATTATTATTATTATTATTACTTTAGGGGACTCTCCTTCTCTGTCTTGATCTCCTTCAACAGTGCCAGGGAAGCTGTGAGAAGGGTCCTGGCTTCCTTCCTTCCTTCCTTCCTTCCTTCCTTCCTTCCTTCCTTCCTTCCTTCCTTCCTTCTCTCACTCTCCTTCTCTCACTCTCCTCCAATAGCAGCACACCCCCCTGGCTGCAGACCTTATTTTAGGTCTCTCAGCCCACCTGTGAGCCATGGCCCATGGTTTGGAAACCACTGATCCACACTGTAGAATGAATGCACTTTGGTAGCACTTTAACTCCCATGGCTCAGTGCTAAGAAATCCTGAAAGCTGTAGTTTCCTAAGACCTTTAGTCTTCTCTGTCAAAGAGTGCTGGTGCCCAACCAATTTGAGGATCCCAGGATTCCCCAGTTGAGCCATGGCAGTTAAAGCGGTGTCAAGTTGCATTAACTCCATAGTATAAATGCACCCCAAGTCCTGTTCAACCCTATGCGTGGTTTTTCTGGGGCTGAGAGGGTGTGACTCACCCAAGGTTACCCAAGGGGTTTGCTAGGGTCCGGATGCTGCAGTCCTTTGTTTCCTCTGCCTGGAAAGAGTCCTTCCTTCTTGCTGCAACTGCAAAGCTTCTGGAGCACTTTATGCATTTCCAAGAGGCTGGAATAGCAGCGACATGTGCAGTATGTATGGAACGATGACAGGCAGGCTGTTGGGGAGGGAGTAATTGGAATTTTGGGTCATTGTATGTATTGTTGAAGGCTTTCATGGCCGGAATCACTGGGTTGTTGTAGGTTTTTTCGGGCTGTATGGCCATGTCTAGAGGCATTCTCTAGAGACGTTTTGCCTGCATCTATGGCAAGCATCCTCAGACCTCACTACCTCTGAGGATGCTTGCCATAGATTCAGGCGAAACGTCAGGAGAGAATGCCTCTAGACCATGGCCATACAGCCCGAAAAAACCTACAACAACCCGGTCATTGTATGGCTTGTATATTTTTATGTTTGATGGTTTAGTCACAGAAAGGGCTTATTTCTATACTTCAATGCCTTTACATTCTTTTAATTAGCATTGTGTCATACTTATTGTTAGCTACCTTGAGCGCCTATATTGAGAGAAAGAGGGGATAAAAATTAAGTAAATAAATAAAAAATAAATATAGTATGTGTGTGACTGTGTGTGTATTGTGAGTACTCATTTTATTCCATTCCTTTGAGGAAAAGGTCTTGGCTTTGAAGCCAAGGACCTGGTTGGTGGATGCGTCTGTGTTTAAACCTCCCCCTCGGGAACTGGATCAAAATTGCAAATCGCATTATATCCTGCCGTATCCCAGAGTGTCAGAGGCAGACAAAGAAGATTGAATGGGGTTGAAATGAATTGGGGTGAAGAGTTTTCCTCCTTTACCAAGTCACCGCACGTACACACACACATGCGGGCACCCAATATTGTAATTTTAGAAAACCAAACTGGGTGCTTTGTGACCTTATGTGGTTTTTTCCTCTTCTTTCCAACACAAGAGCCAGCTGCCTGTCTTAAGGAGTCATGCCTAGGATCACTTTGAAATTAATAGGAATTGAAACGAGCATTTGTCAAGTAATTGTGCAGGATGGGGTTTTTTTTCCCTTCTGGGATGTCTTTGTTGCATTTTTATCATAGCCATGTTGTATTTATTTATTCATTCATTCATTCACATCCCACCTTCCCCTCCAAATCGGGACTCAAGGCAGTTTTTGAATGAATATGGCTTAATATGTGCCAGGAATGAAGATTAAAATGGAAGTAATCCATTCACAGCATCATAGCCATTTAAAAGTATACTTCAAAATATAAAAGGTAAAGGCACTTTGGAATTAGGGAGTATCCTCAGTCCATTCCATAAAAATATTCTGTTTCAAAATACAGTTGGAATAAAAAGAGGATTGTTGTCCATTGAAGTATAGCAAGGGAATGGGGGGCATTCTGAGAAGGGAGTTCCTGAGTCCAAGGACAAGCACCAAAAAGGCCGGGTTGCTGTGAGTTTTCTGAGCTGTATGGCCATGTTCCAGAAGCATTCTCTCCTGATGTTTCACCCACATCTATGGCAGGCATCCTCAGAGGTTGTGAGGTATGTTGGAAACTGTGCAAGTGGGGTTTATATATGTGTGGGGAAATGTCCAGGGTGGGAGAAAGAGCTCTTGTCTGCTTGAGGCAAGTGTGAACATTGCAATTGGCCACCTTGATTAGCATAGAATAGCTTTGCAGCTTCAAAGCCTGACTGCTTCCTGCCTGGGGGAATCCTTTGTTAGGAGGTGTTACCTGGTCCTGATTGTTTCCTGTCTAGAATTACCCTGTTTCTTGAATGTTGATCTTTATTTACTGTCCTGATTTTAGAGTTTTTTAAATACTGGTAGCCAGATTTTGTTCATTTTCATGGTTTCCTCCTTTCTGTTGAAATTGTCCACATGCTTGTGGATTTCATTGGCTTTTCTGTGTAGGATACAGCATATGTTTTGAGGACACAGAAATGCTAGACCACTCTGACAACCACCACGTCAAATTACACAGCGAAGCCACTGAAATCCATAAGCATGTGGACAATTTCAACAAAAGGGGCA